ATACAATCAATAATTACAATTATCGCTACAAATCGACAACCCGTCTATTTTCCCACCAACCTACAGATTCTCACTAAAATTTGCACGTAGATTTACCTGCGCACACAGTATTAACGTTAACACGACTTATAGTCCTTTAATTACACATTTCTTCTTATTCTTCTTACTTTTTCCGCTCGCGCTTCTCTTTTCTCGTCTCACTAGCTGTATGTCTCCATCGTCCTCTCCTCTTTCCTCGTATGAAATATAACGAAAAACAAACACACGTACATAGGGCATTAAAACGAGCCTAAAACATCAAATTTTACATAGAGTCGAGTTTTGGTATTTTTCGGCTCAAAATTGAAAATAACCTTATCATAGAGTAATTTCAGGATTTTTTTCTTGCCCCATAAGTCTTCGGACCTAGGTAAATGTGAAACAGTGTTATAGCTATAGGTAGAAATTAGTGGATTCCATGCCAGGTGCCAGGCAAGAGTTGCCGGCCGTACCGGAGATGAGTAATCTCTAATAGATAGAGCTTCTCTGGTGATGCTGATTAGTCTGGATCTGATGCTTTTGCAGAGAGCACCAGCTTAACTGGTGAGAAGTGGCCGTCCTGAAATACGGTGTCTTTTCCGGGGAAAGGCTACACAGTGGTGAATAGACCCGATGCACCATTGGTGCAGATAGTGTTAGCTTAACTAGCAAGATGTGTCACTGGAGATACTTACACTGGACCCATGGTGTGATAGGTATAATATCAATTAAAGGAGTGGTAAATGGGTGCGGCAATACACTCCCACACATAGATGGTAAGTGAGTGGCCCCGGCGACTAAGCCAATAGGCTGTCATGGTAACCCAGTAAAAAACAACTCATTTTTTTACTATCTTTCTGAAAATTTATTTCAGGAGTTAAAGATTATTAAGTAAAATTAATATTTACTATAAATTAACGCATAAGAAAGGACGTATAGAAATTGTAACGTTTAGCTTGTGGTGCCTAGTAGTCATCAGCATCAAATTAATGATTTAAGAAAATTTTTTTTTTATAGTTTATATGTAATACAATAAAACTCATTTAAAATGCTTATTTTTAGCATCATTCTTGCCAAATACTGCATTTCTTTATGTTAATATTTTGTGGTTTTTTTGTGTCTCTTTTAACTTTTTGAATTTTTATCGTTGTTGGAGAACTTTTGCATTTAAAATATTTGTTACCATTAATTTTTTGTGCAACTATTTGCAAATATTTGTATGTAACATAATCTTAAATTACAAAAAATTTAATTGTTATAGTATCCTTTTACAAATAATAATATAACTAATGTTAGTTTGAGAGTGTTTCATTTGTGATTTATTAAAAAAAACAACATAAAATGTCATGCTGTATTTTGAAACTTCTGAAAGTAAGATATGTTGTGTGCAACTTCTGGTTACAAGTTTAGTGAGCTTAGATCTTGCTGTCTCGATACTTTCTTTGCCCGTTCCAAAGAGTATGATGTTTCATAATGTTTAAACTACATTTTCCTGACCTGAGTATAAGACTATCATTAGTTTGCACAATTTTATCTTGCAATCTCTCCAAACAACTGCAAGTTTATACTATTTTGGATTAAAAAACTTCTTGTTGCAAATTATTTGTGTGCTCACGGTTGCAGATGCAGTGACCTTGGATCTTGCTTTTTTACTACATTTTTTATAACATTTTCAACAGTAGCAAAAGCTTAAACTTGGATTTTTTACATCCTTTCTCCCTGACAATAACCTAATTAACAAATTACTAACACAGTAAGTCTAGTAAAAGTTTGAAACGTTCACAGTTGTTTAAAAAAAAAAGAAAAAAGATTCTTAGAAAGCTGCATTTTACAATTTTTCAAAGACATTTCTGCTCATGATTGTAGGTGCAGTGTGCTCCGATCATTTTATTACCCTTCCTTCCTTCCTTATCCATTGCCATAAGTAGTATGAGCTTCAGCCTCAAGTTTCTCCATTTTTTACATGGGGCAAAAAGTTATGAATTACTAGACTGAGAGTAATGCTGTCCTTGACAAGTATCGATCTCGTTAATCAGGTGATACCTTCATTTTAGGGCTACAATAAGAAAATTTTTACAATTGTTTTTTTTTTTTTGTCTAATAAAGATGAGCATTATGAAAGAGTATTTTTTAACATATCAATTTACTTTATCCATCATACAGTTTGCAATATTATTAACATATTTATAACGTTTTCTGTAATGAAAGAAGTTAACGATTTTTATTAAAGTAGTTGAAACTGTACAGAACTTAAGCAGTACTTGAGCTTAGCCTATACTCGACTTGAGTGATACTTTTGTTAGAACTCTGACTCTTCTGAAAAATAAAATAGTTCTAAGGCTCAACTTAAGCAACCTTATAACAATGATAAAGCAGTGCTCAACTGAGACTTATTCTTAAACTGCACTTAGAAAGTTTTCAAAAAACACAAGAACGGTACTTTGTTGGCACTTGTACAGCTGTTAAGTACACTTAAGTGGTACTTGAGTGGCTCTTGTTTTCGATTATCAAGGAGTCTTAAAGGGCTTTGTGATTAAAAAAAAAAAACTTACAGAGTTTCTTATCAAGAGATAGTCTGAAGGATTATTGATTGTCGAAAAACTATCAAAGAACTTTTTGACCAATTCATTTGTGAAACATCAGAAGACAATAGTGTGATATAAGCTTGAAATGGATATCATTATTTCCCACAAAAGAAAGTGGGTTTACTTTTTTTTTATAAGAAACAGTTAGCCAAAGAAACATGAGAACGTTTTTTTTTTGCTAAATTCTTTTTTAACTACGTTTTGATTCATTAGAAAGATGATTTGAAAATTTGTTTTCAAACGTACTTTAGGATATTAATTAGGTTTTCCAAAACTAGAAGCGTTAGCAGCTTTTATGAGCCTGTTTGTACACTTTCAATAGAAAGAGGTAATATGTTATGGAATAAGATACGGTTAACTACTAAACATTAAAAAAAATTAGCTTGAAGAACCTTAGAGCTTTTTTCCCTCAGACATCCTGTGCGCATTTTTTCTATACTTCTACAAAAACTAATAAAGCATTTTTGATTTATCCCACAATATTATCTCTTTTGAATCATTGAGAAATACTCAGAGGACTCAAAGGATGTACCGTTGAAAACTACTTGAAGGTTTTATTTGCAAAATATTAAAATACAAAAGATGGACTTAAGGACTCATTTTAAATTAAAATTATCTCAAAGAACATGTTTTATTAAATTTTTCGTGACTTCTTTTTTTATCAAAAAAGTTTATTTAGGATTTAATTTAATGCACACACTTTTAATTAAAAATTAGTGACTGGAATATTTCGCTAGTGAAATAGTTTGAAACTTATTTAAGCCTTAACTTGTAACAAGTAAGTAAATCTATCGTATTTGAAAAAAAAAAATTTTTTTTAGAATTTTTAATTTAATATTTTGATACTTTCGAAACAAATCTTTTGAGTTCATATCAAAAATCAAAGAACCTGGTAAGTTTGATTTAATTATCCGGAAGCCGTCTAAATACTTCTTAACAGTCGAATAATCCCGCTTGCTGTTCTTAAAGCTTGATTTACCTCTAGTCACCCGCTCCGCCCCTATTATCCCTTATTTGCTTATTTCTACCCTGGCATAGTTGTCTTATTCAGCTTGATTTTACCTCATAAAATTCATATTTTATACCACCTTATTAAAAAATGGAATTAAGAATAGTATAGTAATGCTACACTATAATCAGACTTTCTTGATTTATTTTACTTTTAGGGTACTACAATGGCATTTCGAAAATATTGCAATAAAACTTGAAAAGCCATCACAACATTATTACAGTAATATGAAATGTTTTCAGTTAAAAATCTTGCTTCTAGTCTTGACACTTTTAGGAATGAAAAACTATTTTTTTTTTTAATTTAGTTTAGAAGCTATACATTTTATTTAGTTAAATAATCAGCTGTAAAAAGTAAAAAATATATGATGATGCTGAAAACATAGTACGTCCCTCATGCCATAAAATAATTGTTAGCCCTAAAAAATCGTTGATTTCCACTTTTTTACGTTATAATGAATAAAAAGGGCTATGAATTTAAACTAAAGATTTGAAACTGACAAAAAATATAGAACTACAAATTTTTTTTCTAATCTCACAAATTGATTACCAGAGCAACAAAGTCCTGTAGCTTAATCTCTCTATTTTTTATCATGACAATGAAAACAACTACTTTTTTCTCTACCTATTTAAAAATTCAAAAGGTTTAAGTGATAACTTTCATGGTTATAATGAAAAGTTGATTACTTGCTTAATAAGTTCTTTAATCGTCGATTTTTACGCTGTCCTGCTGTTCCTATCTCGATGAATGTTCTGCGTTACATTCTTGATGCTCAAAATTAAACCATTTATAGTTTTTCTTTCAATTCGTTCTTTTACTACAGTAGGTATGGTTAAAACTTTTGTTAGCCCTAATGGCTGTTTTTTGTCATCTTTATTAGATTGCGAATTATTTGTTGACAAGGTAGCTAGACGTTCTGTCACATCGATTTGACGGGGGGGGGGGCACAAAGACGCTCTTCCTGGCCAGGAAAGACTGTTGGGTGTCCCATGGCCATTTTTAGATAAGGGACGACAACCAAGTGTCTCGAGTATCGGCAGTAACGTGAGTGAGGAGAGCAACGTCACTGTTTTTAGTAACCAAATGCAAGACGAGCTTAACTCTATGGAAAACGATGGTGCAGAGCTGAGAACAAAGCGAAATGAATCGATTGAGCAAGTTCAACTTGCAAAAAGTGAGCTTGTAAAAATGCTCGCAGCTATAATCGAGAAGAATAGAAATACTGCCAACGCCATCAAAAATGGTATTGAGGCAGCGCTCAATTACTTAAAAGCAGCTGTGGCGACTAGAAGATGTTCTTGCTAAAGAAAAAAACTATACTCAATGGTGGATAAAATGCTTTAAGTCCTTGCAGTGAAGGACAAACCTTTTCTGGTGTACTGAAGACGATGAAAGCAAGATTTAACCCTAAAAAGACCGATGCAGTAGTCCAGAGTGTCTTTACCACCAAGGTGACAAAGCATTCCACGTCACAGTGAGATCACGGGAGGAGGCTGATCGCAAAATCTGGTAAGTAGTTGCGATAGTGTTGGAGTGGCTTCGGGATTATAGTTTTTAACTGGCAATACAGAAGACAGAGATGGTTTGGGGGGAACTTCTGCCTGAACTTTGTGGGTGAGGTTATCTGCGTGAGTTCCGTGGTTTGCGATCTAGGAGTGTAGATCGACTTTCCACTAACCTCTAGGAAGCACATCAAAAGAGTAGCTGACAAAGCCGGTGGGCTTACGAGATCGCTGGCACGGTTAATGCCGAAAGTTAAGGCCCTGCAAGAAGCCAAAATATGGCTTCTTGCGTCGGTCTTCAACTGAATAATTCTGTTTGATACGGAAGTATAGGCGGATACGCTGATGAGACAGAATGTCGAAGAGCGCCTTACTTCGGTGCAGCAAATTGGATTCCTCATGATCGCTTGCTCTTACTGCACAATCTCCTCCACTACTGTTATGGTGATAGCACGAACAATTTACATCGAATTGTTTGCACTGGAGGACTGGAAGAAATTCTAGTGATTCGGTGACGAAAGTTGCGATGACAGGCAGGAGAAAACGAACGGGACACGGAGAAATTAGTTAATACCTCGCCTAGTTTCCATCCGGACACGGCCAGTTTAGTGCCTATCTCCATAGCATGATAATGATAGCATCACCCAGGTGTACTTCCTGCCCGGCGTTGGAAGATACCATCGAACACACATTTTTCGTATGCGAGAGATCGCACCGTAAGTGCCAGCAGCTGGTCGATAGGCTCGGTGTGTAACCCACTCCCGAAAACATCACTTCTGAGACGCTTCGCACTGAATAGGGATGGATTCCTTTAAGACTACGTGTAACAATGCTAAGTTTTTAGTACAGATCTTTTAGAAAGTAAAGTTCTTGACCACGGTTTTTTTTGTAATTATAATTTGGATTCCTTAATTTCTTTTAAGGTTGTTGTTGCACATAAAAAAGTTGATACTCTTAGGAGGTATGTAGCTATTTAAACTATTTAAATTAAGTACATAGAACAGAGTTTTTATTCTATTGGTGATCTATCCGTAATACTTTATATCAGTTAAGTACATTTAGTAAATGATTGGGTATAACTGTATAAAAATCTTTTGTAGTACTATATTCTTCTGTAAATAGATATAAAATTTTATTTACTAAATATCTACTTAAGTATTATAGTAAATTAAAAAGTGTGTAATTGTAAAAGTCTTAAATATAAGTATGTGTGCTTAAGTAATACATGCACTTACTACATGATAAAACTGCTGATGTGTGTATTCGTACTTTGCCAGTTAGATTTGACTGAAAAATATAAGTACTGTCAGTTTATTAAGTCCTTTTAAAAACCATTTTAATGTCTTCAAAGCATCGATTCTACGGTATTATCCAGCTTAACTTGCCTTGGGAAAAACTTATCTCGCATTAATACCGTAGTTAGCCAAGATGTTTTCAATTTATAAGATTTGTACAAATACTATAGACATTAAGTTCTTTTTTATAAACTATATTTTTAATTTAATTTATAATTAAAGTGATATGCTTGGAACGTATAATGTAAACGATTCATTTATAATTACAAATTAGATTATACTAATTAAAACAAGCTTTACTATATAAAACACTTATTCAAATTGTACTTTATTCTGGATTTCAGAGAATTTTTGAGATTGGGTGACCCTCTGTGCTGCATCTCCCCGGATAACATTGAACCACAATCAGTTCGTGGGAGCCCTGTCCCTTTAACAAGAATAAAAACCTTAGTTTCAATGACAACGCCGAAAGATTTCAGAGCACATGGTTCTTGCACCTTACCACCATTCGTTGAGTTTGATATGAGCTCAGAAAGCTTTGCCTGTCTTTATATACCTAGCATTGCACCTCAGAGTACAACGCAAGTAACTGTAACATCAGCTGACAACAGTGTAGCTGGTGGCATTGGCTCAGGTTTAAATTTTATTTACTAGTAGACAATTTAATTATTGTTAATTCTATCAATGTTATTTCTTGTGTATAACACTTATTATTACAATAAAATCATTAATTTGTAGTTTTTTGTTAGTGAAAAGATCTCTCATGTTATTAATACATTTACACATAAATGAATAATTTTTTCAGGTGATCGGTTCTTTCCACCCCAAACTGGTTTAACATACAGCACATGGATATGTGTCGATAAATTTTGCGATCCTCAAACAGATTATCACAGCATCAGACTATTAACTTTAATTCGTACTGTACAATCAAACAGAGATTTACTTTGCTTTAGTGCTGTTATTAGTGCCCGTGACAAAGCAATCATTATCTCAACTCAAGAGACACCACTACCACAATGTAATTTACAACAAAGTAGCTTGTAACATGTGTGTGGTATTACAATTTTTTTCTCTTTTTATCATCCATGGATGAAGAAATATTCTTTAACTAAACATTCTTTTTCCTCAAACAAAAATCTTACACTAAGGCTTCCAAATGTCCTTATTTAAGTATGCGTGCTATAATAATGAGCTATAATAGTAAAGTGGATGTTGCATACAATAATTGCAATCGTCAGAAACTTACTTTTTTTTTATTAAGATTCAACTTGTTTTTTTAGTAGAAATTTGTTTTTACTTACTATTATTTTACTCTATTTCATATGTTTGATACATTTAATTACATAAATAATTCTTTTTTTTTAATGTTATATGTGTCTTCTTATTGTATTTCATCCCTTAACAGAATCTTGTTAAATTTACTTTAGTTTAAAAGTTTTACTGTCGTTAGATTATTTTTTCTTTATATTATAGTGTCAATTTTTTATTTAACAAATTTTCTCATGAATTTTAAGAGAATTGTATATTTGTTTCAATTTACGAATATCACCTAATACAACTCAAAGTAATTTAGTCTATTTGGCTGGGAGAAAAATAAGACGTAAATGAGGGTGTGGTGCCACGCATCCCCTTACACTCGAACTGATACGTGCTGCTACCGTGCTTCTTCATAAATGAAAAAACTAACACTATTTTACAATCAAAATTTTGGTGATCAAATATTTATGATCACTATTATTTTGTAGCCTAATGGATACATTCAGGTATTTTAAAAATAATTTTAATGTTTTAGTAAGTCAAATATAGCTAGTCTTTCTTTTCTTATGAGCAACCCAATATAATCCCAAACCCAACCCAATAATATTTTGGAACCGTGGATTTGTATTCAAACGTTTTCTACCAACAAGTCTATAAAATTGTAACCCTTGTTTGTAACTTTTATTTGTAATGCCACATTACCTTGTTTACCAATTGACCATTACGTGGATTAAATCTTTAAGCCCTCAGAAATACGGGTTTGATGATGTAGAACAATAGTGTGTGAAATAAAATATTGATATAAGCGTAAACATTTTTTAGGTGTTGGCGATTGGGAGCCAGAAGGAACTGGTGATTATGGTGCTAGAGTTTGGTGTCCTGAGTTACTACATGAAGGTCAATGGCACCATATTGCAATAGTATTAAATCGTGCTGTACTAAAAAATTCAAGTTTTTTATTGTATCTCGATGGTCAACATATTCATAGCCAAAAGGTAACTTTTATTTACATTTATTTAAAATTACAATCATGAAATGCAATAGATTATAGTTTTTTCTCTTCGATAAAGCTTCATTATATTAGTCAATTACCTGGTGGAGCCACGGCTAATTTAATAGTTGGATCACCCGTATATGGCTATATAGGTACGCCTCCATTTTGGCGAAGATTGTCCAGACTTAAATGGAAGCAAGGTCCATGTTATTTTATGGAAGAAGTATTGAATTCACAAAATATAGCAACTTTATTTAAGTTAGGTCCACATTACATGGGAAGCTTGCAAGCACCACAATTTCCAGGTAAATTGTAAAATATTTACATTTATTGAGTTTCGTATTCAAAAAGTTCCTAAGTCCCTATCGCAAGACAAAAAGTCAGAGAATAATTTTCTTAGCTTTGTGATACAGCTATATCAGTAAGAGTAATTTTTTTCACTTAAAATTTAATACATTTTTGTTTCTTTTACTTAAATTTTTGGTGTTGTTCTTGTACGAAACTCACTCTGTGCTGATCTGACTTCTGGATAAAAGGTAAAATCTGTTAGAAGTCTTGCATGATTATCTCACTAAAAGTTTTTCTTTAATTTCTTATACAGCTGTAGAATAACTTTGTTTCACTACAATACTAATTGTCCATTATTGATGGTTTCTTAAGATAAAACTCACAACGTATTGTTTCTAGAAAATAATCAAAAATATTAAATCATTATTTTAAGTTCAATTTCTCAACAAAAGCCGATTCTAAAGCCTAGTACTTTTTTAGTTATTTGAGTAAGCAATCATACGATCTGATATTGTCTTTTAATTACCACACGTGACAGGTCTTGAAATAGTAGTTTAAGTACGAAAAAATTTTGTAAATACCGTATTACTAATTTAATTATATAATTGCAAAATATTGTATAAGGATGCTTCACTTCAGCCCTTAAATAAAAAATTTTTTTAAATAAAAAAGTGACACAAAAACTAACTTCTTTAGAAGTAAGATGAAAGATACCGAAAACTTCGCAGAAGTAGAAGATAAGTATCTTTTACAGTTGTACTATCTATTGTACATAGTACCGATTAAGATCCATTCGTTGGCCAGTATAGGTTAGTTAACTTATCTTAAATAAGTAAGATATATCGCTTTATATTAATCATATTACTAAAATTGTAATGTCAGAAAACCAGAAACTAATTTGAGTGCAGTTTTTTATTTATAAATTTAGATTTTTTAGAACTAACAATTTTTACAGTCTTTAAGTATTCTATTGTGTATGTACGATGTGCTTATGCTTCAGACAATGTACAGTGCATAATTTTTTTATTGTAACAAAACAAGGTTATAAACAAGGAAATCCAATCCAAATTTGCACTGACATGTCCAAAAAAAATTAAATTTTGTTTCATGGCACCTTTAAAATAAATTTTTTCTTGTTACATGTACCCTCAGAAAAGTAAGAAAAATCGTGTATAATAACTTTAGGCTATGAGACACTGGTTTTCATGGAACAGAAGATTATAATATTCAATTTTTGAAAAATACTAGCTCAGCAAGGACTTGTACTGCTTTATTAAACCAGCTTCTTGTTTCAATGCTGTACCATGTGAAGTGTTTGTTTTGTGATGAATCTGTCTTGATAACTTAACAGGACTCTATTACATAACGGGGCTAAATTATTGATAAGGTAACGCTAATAATATCATTTTTAACTGAAAAACATGCAAGTAACTCTAAATTTATTCAAGTCCCAAAAAAAGATGACTATAAAAATTTATGTAAATAGTGTATCAGCTTACGTTATATTATTTACATAATTAATGGTAAGTATCACAAATTTTATAGTAAATAATTATGCATTATAAATAATACATACATCAGACGTTGCAGTTGTTTTTTTACGATCACAACAAAAAGTTATTGAAATCATTCTCAGCTTAACTTACAGAACCTTGTAATATTATGCTAGTTTATCTGTTTAAATATAACATATTCTCATGCCTAAGTGTGTTTTTAACTTATTCATACAGTTGCTTGTCATAACAAAAGTGTAGCCAATGCAATAAGAGGCCCACTCCAAAAAATGTTCGATGGACATGTAACTTTTGGCTATAAAATTTTATGGGCAAACGACATAGTAAAATGAATAAATGAATCAAGCAGCAAAATTAATTTATTATTATTTATAAAAATAGTATGAAAAATTTTGATATTTTCGTTCATGATAATTTAAAGCCAGTTTAAGGAACTTCAAAAGTTTATTAAGTCATGTGGTCCAAATATAATAGTGAAAGCCTATCATTTAACTACTTATCGTGCTCTACTTGTAATTTTAAAACTGGTTGTAAAAAAATCGGATTGACAGTACAGTGATATACAAAATAAAAGAAATTGTGATGAATGGTGATGAGCATCACAATATTTTATCCTTTTAACCAATTAAACGTTTTGAAACTGAAGAGTGGATGATAATAATTTATGACCAACGGTATCTGGAAAATATTTAAAAAATAAAGAAAAGTTTATTAACTATCAAGTTTTTAGAAAGAAAGAAAAAATATTTGTGTTGGCCAACGAAGTTCACACTGTATTACCAACACAGGTACTATATAAAACAGATGAGCTGATTAGTACAGCCAAAAATAATGTTCTTAAAATAAGTGATTGTTAACGTAAACAAATAACTGCAACGTCTGATTTACATTTTATTTATGATGCATAAGTATTTATTATAATGTTTGTGATACTTACCATTAATTACGTAAGGTATTCAATGAAAGGTGATGTATTATTTACATTAATTTTTATAATTATTTTTTTTGGACTTGAATGAATTTTAAGTTATTTGTATATTTTTCATTTAAAAATGTTATTATTAGTGTTACCTTTTAATGATTGGATCCTATTGCGTAATGGAATCAGGTTTAGTTGTCAAGACAGATATATAGAATAAGGAGAAATTCCTGACATGTGAAATTCGATTACTGCATCTATCGTATAGTTTGTTACTTATTTTTAATGTTAATTTGTATTTACTATATAACATTTTCAAAAATTAAAAAAAATTTTTTTAGTACTATATGAATGCAACAGTTGATTTTGTTTATGTTCTATTCTTTTAAAATTTTTCCATTCGTATTCACAGTGATTTTTTGACTTAAGACGTTTACATAGTGACCAGAGAACAAGTTTATAGAAGTGAGAGGAGCACAAATGTGTGCAGCAAAGCTGGCAATTGTTTTTCTCATGTGCATGTACTTACACACATACTTTTACGCATACTTGATCCCTTCTTTCTAAATTTATTTAAAAACCAACTTGTGGAACTATTTGAAAATTTGATAGGTTTATCTAAAAGTAATCTTTAATACCAAAAAAATGGGGAGACTTCTATAGATGATGCAAATGTCATTTTAGGTGGTTTTTTTATAAGGTTACATGTTAAATGGCAATTTTTAAAATTAAACATGTATAAAATAATAATTTAGTCAAACGAGCTGTAATTTTTGTGGGTAGTCATTATGCTGTTTCAATATACGTTAGACATTTGAATTATATCTGTCAAAAAAACCTATGTGTGATGAACGTCCTGAAGGGACATACACATTCATGCAATACTACCCTATTTAAGTGATACTACAGGATGGTTTTTCTTAATTTTCAAAATACAATTTTTTTTTTTGGGTATAAAATATGGACTAGGAATAAGTTTGTAAGCGTATGTGACAGATGTTAGCGTGACGTTAGACATGTAATAAGCGTAGGCAGAAGGAAGTTGTTTTGGAACCATCGGAAGATTCAATGAAAGCGTACTTGTCCTAGCCAGCCTGTATATTGTTTTTATTATGTTGTTCCGAAATATATTGCTTGTTACTGTTAACTTATTAAATATTAAAATATTAATTGAAATCATACTTTATAAATGTATGTATACTGATTCCTACGATAATTGCACCACGTTCGTACAATATATTATTTCATAAAAGGTATTCTTATACTTATAATTGTATTGTTTGCCATACAGTTTTATAGAAGTATTACTTTATACTTAGGTACCCAAGCACTTACTGTCCACTGATTTTATACGACAATTAAATGGTCATCCTGTTTGATGTATTCATTCTTTGGGGCATGTTGTAGTGACCCACTTTAAGCTATGAACTCCTAGAAATTTTTCGTTGTTTACTTTCGTTTGATCATATTCCATTACTTTTTTTGTAAAGTTTAGTTGATTTTAAACTTAATGCTGATATTGAGATTTTTTAAAATCTTAGAAATAATTTCAGAACCTTGTCCAGTGTTCATCAGCTCACTATTATAGAAAATGGAAGCGTTTATTTGTATGTTCGCGAAAATCTCAAAAACTACTAAACTAATCTATTCCAAATTTTAACAAAAGGTTAATTAAGAGTTTTTATATGGCATAGGCTATTGAGTTAAACAATAATCTCTTTAAAAATTGTTTATGCTCCTTCTAAAAACTCACTGTTAAAATGCTTTGCAAAGGTGTTTTGCCTTTCGACTATTAGAAGGCGAGTCGTTACGTTCTTTAATCTTACTTTGCGTCAAGTGAGCTGCACCAGCAATTAATTTTATGACATTACATTCTTAGTTTAAGTTGATGTACTAATTACTGCCATGCAACCATGCACAAAATGTAACTAGATAAGCTATGTAGGTTCTGGACCCACTCTCCTCCCCCCTAGGACGGTGGTGGGGAATCCTCGTGCTGTTGTACGAGGGTACCTGCCCCAAGCCCCTCTGCGCTCTAGCGTGGTGGAGCGGAAATCCACCTACACAAGCTCTCTCTCATATTCGTGGATGGGGGAACAAGTGCTTTATCTCTTTTGCTTTTTCGTGCTATTAGACAAGCGTCACACGCTCTAGCTCTCATGCACACGCTCGCGTATACACGTGCTTACTTATGATTGAGTTTACACGCTCATATATACACTCACATGGAATAACGTACATTCCTATACGTTACTCCTGTGTAAGCACACGTGGTCGCATGCACGTGCAAACGCATGATTTCTCACACGAGGTAAGATCAGTGTATTCATAATCTTCAATTATTATACAGACAGCCTCATAGTTGAGATTTCAAAAATGTTTATGCGTACATGCCATTCATACAAGTCATAGTTGTAAAACATAGATCTCATTCGTGCTTTGTTACATTCAAGTCCTCAATATCTCAGTTAGTTAACCATCTCATTGGCATAAAGTGGTTAATCATATTTAGCTATTAAAAATTTGAAATTATGAAATTTTTTTTTTATTATTATTCATAAGTTAAGTTTGTTTCGTTTCATAA